AGGCAGAAACTGGCCGGGGGGGGGGGAGGCGGCTGTGCCCGCCGGGAGCGGCCCAAAGGAGAAAGGGGGTCTGGCGGCTTCTGGAGAACCCCGTGGCAGGAGGGGGGTCCCCGGGCAATGCTCCCTCTAAGCTGTGGAGTCCTGTGAGCCAAAATGCTACTTTGTGAGCTACCGGCATTAATGTTGTGAGTGAGCCATTTGACTGCGGCATAAATGAGTTTGCTCTGGAGCCATCCTTCTTCCTGAGCAGAGATAAAAATGTGTGAGCTGGAGGCTAGAAAACAGTGAGCTGGCTCACGCCAACTCAGCTTAGAGGGAACGAAACCCCAAAGAGCTGCTGTCAGTCCAAGTAGACAATGTGAAGCTGTGGAGTCTCGTGAGCAAAAATTCTGCTTTGTGAGCGGCTGGCATTAAAGTGGTGAGCGAGCGATTGGGCTGCTGCATAAAATAGTTTGCTCTGGAGCCCTCCTTCCTAAGCTGAGGCAAATATGTGTGAGCCGGAGGCTAAAAAACTGTGAGCCAGCTCACACTCACTCAGCTTAGAGGGAACACTGGTCCCGGGTGGGCACTGCAGTGCTCCCCCTAAGCCATGGAGTCTTGTGAGCAAAGGTTCCACTTCGTGAGCTGCTGGCATAAGTAACTGGGCGATAAGTATAGCTGAGATTGGATTAGAGCAGTTGGTAAAACCTGTGAATGGCAGCAGATTAGCTTACAAAGTGAGAAGAGAGCCGAGTCTGAGTCCAGCGGCAAAGACCAACAGAGTTTAATTCTGGGTATAAGATTTCCTGTACATGCACACTTCATCAGTTACATCGGAACAGTTTTCCCTCAAGCCTTACATATAGGTGTGTGGGGGAGTGTTAGTTGCCGGACAGGCTACTTGAGAGTCAAGATGCATAAGTAGCTGAATAAGAGATTGGATTTATACCCCACCCTTCACTCCCTTTCTCACAACACGAGAACTCGTGGGCACTCCATGAAATTGTTGAGCAGTCGGGTTAGAACAGATAAAAGGAAGTCCGTCTTCACCCAAAGAGTGATGAACATATGGAATTCACTGCCACAGGAA